GACAGAGAAGGAATCTTGCCAGCGGGGAGTATGTCGTCGGGATGGATGCATGTACCAGAAATGAAGAAATAAGAGAGACGAGTTTACCATAGACAGTGGGAGGATTGTACTTTTGCGCGTCGGTTGTGTAACGGGCATTTTTCTTAAATTTGCCCAAGATTTAGTATATTTTTTTGTGATAATTTTTTTCATGAAAATAATTCATGGGAAAAATACGTGTAAGCTATAATTGCTTTAGAAAAATATATTAATATTATATTATTTTAACAAAATTATTAAAAAATATTATTTTTTTTATATTTTTAGTAGTACTTTATTTAAATAACTTAATTTTAAGCTTTTTTAACTTAATTTTTTTTATATAAATTTGACTAAATAATACTAATAATATTATAATTTATAGACACTATAATATAAAATCTTACTATATAGTAATACAATGTGATTTCTCTTAGTTCTTCCAATTTGGATTGGCATGTGAATATGTATGTATTTATTACTTTATAGTACTGTAAGGATAAATCTGAGATCTTTAACTTTTGACGTACTGTAACAATTTCTTAATTGTCGAATTGAGATTAAATCCAACTTTTCTGGTTAAATGGCTACATGGTAAATACAATGGACATGCCTGCACTTGATCTGTAGCACAATTCCCCGATCCTGAATTTATCGCCGGTCCCGAGTTTACTTTCTTAAGGAACACGTCATACTCTGATTATCCTGCTAAGCAAGCCACATGGGTACCTCACAAAGGCCTATAAATACCCCCCAAGGGCCACCTCAAAAAGGTAATTGAAACTGACCTAAAGTTCCTTTTTAATTATTCTAAAAAGGTAGATCCGATTATTGTTGATTTAAGTATCGGAGTGTCTACCTTGAGGACCTACCTTGAGGACCTACCTTGGGGCTTTGCAGGTTCATCCGAAGTGAAAACGCGGACTAAAGAAGGACTTCTGGTTTGGTGCAATTACATTGGCGTCGTCTATGGGAATCTGAACTAAAAGCTCTCTTGTTGCTCTCTCATTATGGTTAACACTTGTTCAGTCCGAGTTGGAAATCCATCTCAGCCTCTTGGACAAGGTCAACTCCCCAAACCTTCCACCTCACCTCCCACCTCAAATCCCAAACATGTTTCCTCCTATTGATCATGTAGAAGGAGGAGATGAAAACCAACCTCACAACTCACCTCACAACTCAGCTTCAACCACCAATCAAGATGTAGTTACAGCTCAGCTTGCTGCTATACAACAACAGTTTGGTGTTTTTTAGTTAGTATTGGCTTAGCTCCTAGCTCGAAATAATCCTGATGATCCTTTCATCAATTTACTTAATCCTGCTCCACAACCCCCAGCTCCACAGCAAGACCCTCAACTAGTTCAGCATGCTCCTGCTCTCAGTGAGTCTCAAGGCTAGTCTTACATAGCCCTAGCTCAACAACTTCTACCTGATGATGTCACTCGACGTCTGGACAGCTTAGAAAAATTGGTAGATGAATAGCGAGGCGCTCCACCTCTACACCACAATACTAACTCCATACCCCATCCTCTAAACATGAACATCACATTGGAACCTTATCCCGCTGGCTTCAAAATTCCTCAGCTCGAGACATATGACGGGACAAAGGGCCTCGATGATCACCTCCATGCCTTCTATTCCTGTATGCAAGCTCAGAACGCCTATAATGCCTTAATGTGTAAGATCTTTCCCTCCACTCTTCATGGTAATGCCCAAACTTGGTACTATAGTTTGCCCCCAAGATCTATTAGCTCCTATTCAGAAATGGCATCTGCTTTTGCCATAAAGTTTTCCAACAGAAGGTTGATAAGGAAAACCACTTTTGAACTAATGCGAGTCAAGCAGAGGGACGGAGAATCTCTGAAGAATTACATGAGTCGGTTCAACGATGCAATTCTTGAAGTCAGCTTCTTCAACCAAGCCGTGGGAATTGCGGCTATAATTCAAGGTCTCCAATATGAAAGATTCAGAGATAGCTTAATCAAGTATGCTGCTGCTACTTTCAATGAGGTTAATGATAGATCGTTGAAATTTATAACTGCTGAGGAATATGCTTTATCTCAGAAGCCAGTTCCTCCTAGAAACAAAACCCAGATTAGAGAGATGAGGGTTAGAGCAAAAAATGGATGAAGATAGTACAGAACCGAGGTCCGATGATGACCTCCACTCCTAAGTTTGGAAAGCCGAACTCCGTACCTCCCCAACAAAATATCAGTAAAGCACTAGTTACATGGACCCCTTTTAATCTGCCGAGGTCATAGATATTCATGCAGATCAAGAATAAGATGGATTTGAGACGACCGGGACCAATGAGAAGCTATGCTGCTACACGAGATCATGTCAGATACTGTGATTTTCATCAAGATCATGGTCACACAATGGAGCAATGCAATAGTTTGAGGTCCGAATTGGAAAGTCTAGCCGAGAAGCGCATGTTAAATGAGTACATCTAGCGAACCGAGCAACCAAAGTTTGTTAGAGAACAGGGGGCACAGCCATAAGGATCTCGTAACGTACGAAACAGAAAAGGTGTGGGATATCAACAAGCCCCACCTTTATTCCCACCACTAGCCAGAATTATACATATGATTACGGGAGGCTTGGACGCAGGAGGTTTGAGCTCCAAGCAGTGAAAGTTGTATGTCAGAGATGTGAAGCATCAAAACCGAGCTCAGAAAAGAAAGTTTAACGATGCTAATTGGAAGAATCAACCCGTCACTTTCACATCTACTGATTTTGATACAGTTGTTACACCTCACAATGATCCTCTGGTCACTTCTGTCATGATTAACAACTGTGAGGTACAACGTGTCCTTGTCGACACAGGAAATGCATCAGATATTATGTACTTTCATTGTTTTGAGAGTCTTGGCCTAGATCCAACTTTGTTGCAGAGGTATGATGGTTCTATCTATAGATTCAACAACCAACTTGTTCAAGTCGAAGGAGTCCTCACTTTCAATGTTGCTTTTGGGAGCGGCCGAACTTATGTTACCCCTTTAGTTTGGTTTCTAGATGTTAAAATGGCGTCCTCCTTTAACATTGTTATTGGCCGACCCACATTAACCAAAATCCAAGCTGTGGTATTCTAGTCTCACCTCTGCATGAAGTTCCCAACTTCCATCGGGATAGCAACACTAAGGAGTAACTAGGAGGTGGCCAGACATTACTATATTATCTCAGTTACAATGCCTTAAAAAGGCAAAGACCAAACGTCGAAAGCCATTCCCCAACGAGTTCCTGATAATCAGCAAGTAATAGGTGTTGAAATAGTAGACAACCGACCAGAGGATGAAATAAGAGCTACTCCGGTCGAGGAAGTTAAAGAAGTGCATATTGACGATAGAGATCCAAGCAGAAAGACACAAATTGGAACTCAATTGAGTCCGAAGGAGAAAGCAAAGCTAATAGCTTTTCTCCAAGCTAACAACAATGTCTTCGCTTAGACTTCGACAGACATGCTAGGAATCCCGACCTCGGTATCCCAACATAAGCTCAGTACCAATCCATTGAAGAAACCAATAGCCCAGAAGCGACATCTCTTCGGGGGGGAGAAGCTTCAAGTTATAAAGGAAGAGGTAGAGAAGTTTCTACAAGCTGGTTTGGTCAAAAGAGTTGATTATTGCGAATGGGTGGCTAACCTAGTGCTGGTTAAAGAAGCAAATGGCAAATGGTGAATGTACATTGACTACACAAATCTCAACCAAGCTTGCCCCAAGGATTGCTATCTGATGCCAAGCATTGACAAACTGGTTGAAGCAGCTTTGGGAAATGAGAGATTAAGTCTCTTGGATGCATATTTTGGGTATCATCAGGTGTCGATGGCTCCGGAGGATGAAGAGAAAACCTCGTTCTATACTAGTGACGAAATCTATTGTTATGTAATGATGCCATTTGGCTTAAAGAATGCAGGTGCTACTTATCAGAAAATGGTGACCATTGTCTTTCGAGCTCAGATCGGTAGGAATTTGGAAGTTTATGTTGATGACATTGTGGTAAAGAGCCTAAATGTAGAAGATCATCTAACTAATCTTGATGAAACTTTCAACAACCTCAGAAAGAATAGAATGCGGTTAAACCCAACCAAATGTATCTTTAGCGTGGAGTTTGGGAAATTTCTAGGATTCATGGTTTCCCGAAGAGGGATTGAGGTCAACCCAGAAAAGATCAGAGCAATTGCCGAGATGGAACCGTCGAAATCAATGAAAGATATACAGAGGTTAATTGAAAGAGTGGCAGCTCTTCATAGGTTCATATCGAAGTCAATAGTTAAGTGCTTGCCATTTTTCAAGATCATGAGATTAGCTGCCCAGAAGGACGAATCAAGCAAACAGAAGAAGTTTGAATGGAACCCGGAATTCCAAGCCGCATTAGAGGAGCTGAAGTCTTATCTTAGCTCACCACCCCTACTGACTAAGGCTATAGATGGAGAGATTCTCTATTTGTACCTTGGAATTTTAGACAAAGCAATTAGTTCAGTTTGGTGAGAGAAGAA